AGTTGAGTTTTTCATCTGTTTCTTCTTGCTTCCTGGAACATCCGGTGCATGTACTCTAGAGACCTTTATTCTGAATTCTTTTTTCGTCATGTTGCATATCTCTGTCTCACTTAGCTGCTTTTCTGGACGAGTCCTCCTTTTCTTTCCTTTGGGGGTTTCTTTGTCTACCCATGTTTGATCTCACTGACATTACTAGTTGTTGAATCGTTCAGTGGCTGGACCCTGGGTGGCAGTGGCTGCTCCCTGGGTGGCAGTGGCTCCTTGGTCTGTGGTTGCTCCTTGGGCGGTTGTGGTAGCAGCGGCTCCTCTGTTGATAGCAGGGCCTCTGATGGGTGCTGTTCACAGTTGTGGTGGCTCTTCTGGCTGGTGGAGGGAGGCTTCAGACGCAGCAACTGTTCCCCAGGCAGAGCGTGTGGAGATCAGGAGGCCGCTGTTGCTTGAATCTTCGAGGCAAGTCCAACCTTTCCGTGGAGGGGTGCAGGTCTCCCCTTGGCTCTTGCAGTCGCGCTGTTTGCTAATCGCTGCCTCCGGGTCAGTAGCCGCCGGGCTAGTAGCCGATCTCTGGATGCCGGTGAACGCTGCCTGAGATGGCGCGGTCCCGCCGCTGCGCTGGCGCCCAGAGGGAGGTTTCAGCCTCAATCTCCAACCATCCGCATTTTTTAGGAGTTTTCTGTCTTTCCTGGCTGCAGACTGTCTCTCAGCTGAACCTCCCCAGCTTGATCGGGCTGATTGTTACCCGTTTCAGCTGCTCGCCCCCATCTGGTCCGGGACAAAGCACCAACACGTCCGTCTAAGCCTCCGCCATTTTTCTTTCTCGTAATAGCTCATTTTAAAAAACAAAAAACAAGCCCTTGCAGGTTTGGTTCAGTGGATAGAGTATTGGCTGAAGGGTCCCAGGTTCAATTCTGGTCAAGGGCACATGCCCAGGTTATGGGTTTGCAGGAGGTAGCTGATCAATGATTCTCTCTCATCATTAATGTTTCTATCTATCTCCCTCTCCCTTTTTCTCTGAAATCAATAAAAATATATTTTTTTAAAAAGACAAAAACAAGATTCTTCTTTTTTCTTTTTCCTTGAACTTACATTTTTCTCCTTGACCTTCTATTTCCAATACCTTAGAGAATTATATTGTTCTTTGTTACAAAAAAAGTATATATAATTAAAATTTTAAAAAGTCTCCTGCCACCAAAAATCTGTGAGTTTTTAAGTTTTTTTATTTTAACTGAATTATTTCCATTAATACTCGAGCCATTGATTGGGACACCATTGATTGGGACAGCATAATTATTTACCCGTATTTTAATATTGTTATTAACAGTAGAATGTTATTGGAAATGACTCTCTGAGATTATGTGCATTGACTGCAAGAGCCTTTGCAGTATTTTACATTGTTCTTTGGTGACTCCGTTTCCTTGGGCAGTGCCCTGTGGCAGATTCCTGGTGGGCTGAGAGGTACCCTGTCCTTTGTAAAGTGGAGATGATTGCCAAAGGGAAAGGGAAACTGGCATAACTCTTATTCTTAGGAACGTGACTGGGCAGAATGGTTTCAGAAAGATTGTGTGGGGGAAGTTGAGAAACTGCAGATTGATTCTATTACACTTCTCTGTGCTCAAGGATACATGTACTCTATTTTGAAAAATGCTGGTGTTTCTCTATATTTCTTAAAGTTTAGAGTTTGCCAGAGATATTTTTCAGGAAAACAAAAAAGTCATGGTAACACAAATTTGAGAAAAGCTACATATTTATTATTCCATCCTTAGAGCATCCTGGTTCCCATTAATTGATTAAATGTTCTCAAATCCAAACACATACATGTATACATATATACATACGTACATACACGTCTGTTTAAATCAAGATTTATCTGACTTACCTTTTTTGTTCATTTGGTTAGTGACTATAGAGTCTCAGGTACTTACTGTCCTGTGAATGGAAATGTGCGGGAGGGGATACTGGCCTATCTGCCTGATGGAACTTTGTGCAGTGATGGAAATATACTATGTCTGCAACATCCTGTGTGGTAGCCACTAGCCATAGTGGTTGTTGGGCACATAATGTGGCGAGTGCAACTGAGGAAGTGCATTTTAAATTTTATGTAATTTAAATGTGAATGTAAATCGCCACATGTGGCTAGTGGCTACCATATTGGGTAGAAGAATTGCTCCAAGGGCT